CCCCCCAAAAGTAAAGCTGCTGTTATTTTAAATAACAAAGGCAGATTCCTGGAACCCTCTGAAATGGACAACAACTGTTGGCAATCACTCTCTGGGCTCATTTTCTAATGCTGTTTTTAATCCAGAATTTTGCTGGGCTTTATCCAGTTGCCTTAATGATAGGTTTATTGTTAATTTTATTTTTGTGTTTGTTTTTATACTTTGTTAACCACTATTTGAATTTCTCTTCTGATGGAAAACAAGATATAGATTTTTGTATAAATGAAAATTAAGGGATTCACTGGTGAGGCGCAGACATCTATATACACAGCCGTAAGTATCTAGTCTGCTAGTGTGTAAGGACATGTGGACTTAGTAAAAATTATTCAAGTTTGTTTTTAACACAACCTCATTTTTACCCCTGTTGCATTGCCACCCACTAAGTTCAGTCCTGGACTGAGCAACATGACAAAATTGCTAGAAGTTGTTTCAATGCCAGGAGAAAAGAATTAGTCCTTTCTTTTCATTTGGAGGGCTGTAGGATGAAAAAAACCACTCAACCAGGTTTCAGGTATCAGAAACAAATGGGCTGGCTAGATGCCCTGGAGCAGGAACTATGTGGTTCCTTTTTGAAACCTCTCCTTTTTAAGTTCTGTTGCAGAATCCTTGACATTCCTCCCATTCTACTCTGGGCATACTGGAACCAGAACTCTATTTTGATGAAGGAGGGCCTGGAACTAACAGAAGAAGAGCGAGTGCAGACTCCCAAGAACAGTATGTTCTTCAGCTGCTGCTCAGCTTCTGGCAAGATTAGTTGTGAATCACTCCTAGAGTGTGTTCCAGCTGTCTGTCCTTCCCACACAGATAGGCTACAGATGCAAAAATGCTGTCTTCCTGAATGTGTTGCTCTCCAGGAGTGTTGGACTATAACTTCCATGATCTCACTCAACCAGCACAACCATGATGAGATTGATGAGAGTTGTAATCCAACCTATTTGGAGAGTACCAAGTTAGGAATGGTAGAAGGAAACAATGAGATATTTAGAGAGCTGGAACAAACACATACAACTGCAGTTCCAGGTCTTGGGATCCAAGGTGTAGTGCGATGCACAGCCACATCTATATCCATTGGGTATGGCCAGGCACAACTGCCCACAGTGCCCATTATTTTGCACACACTCGTTGAAGCCATCTTGTCGTGATGAATGGAAAACTAATATATCCATCACAAAGTCTAGACGACTCTGAATAAGTGTTCGATTCCTCCCATTTGTTTTATCAGCTCTTTCTATACTGTGAAGGTTCCAATCTGTCCAGTAGATGAAGTCACTGTACTGAGTTAGTCCAAAGGGGTGAGGTAGATCATCTGCTATTATTTCCCTCTCTTGCCCTGAAAGAGACAACCCATATGTTGTTAATCAACACAGAGATTCAAACTATGGTAGCCACAAGATGAAAGTTTGGATAACTTAACTCAAATTTTTACTAGTAATATTTAATTATCAATGAATGTAGGTCACCTATCTCTGCCCCTCTGCTATTCCTTTCACATTTTCAAATAAGTTTATAAAGCAGTACTGCCTGTCAGACTACATTGGAAAAAAAAAATAGCCCAAGACAATTATGAGGCCCCATGGTCAAATACAATACGCTCATCCCATTTTATTTATGGTCCCAGACCAATAAAAACACAATAAAATATGGGATATTCTCTTGATCATCACTGATGATAGCTTTAGTTCTACAAAGGACCAGAAAAATACAACCTTTTGGGAACTATTCTTGCTTCACTTACAGAAATTCCTGTCAGATAAGGAGCAAACTCTCAATTAAGTACTGGCTATTTTCTGTTGCAGAGCATTATCAAGGGAACTATATGATGGTACATTAAATATAAAAAGTAGAGCTGTGGCCTGCTTCAGATTTGATTCTGATCAGTGCTTTGGGGCATGCAATTACTTAAAGCAAGTGTGTCTTTTCCCATGCCTGCATAGCAAATTCCTAAACAGATCACTAATATGATAAATGTGATGGTTGCTACCATTGCCACTAATATTTGCAGTAAATCACATCTACAGTTCCAGAAAAACTGATCTGTTGATGAGAAGCTTTCTCATGATACTTTTTAGTAAAATAAAGGAAGGCTAGACTGGGTTATGAGATTTAACCATATCCAGGCTATATGCATTCCCTACTAACTGTAAAAGTACAATATCTAAAACAATAATGTGATACATATGTACATGATACATACACATGCATGTATGTATATATGCATTAGGCCTGAGCAGAAATCTGAATTTGAAGAGCAAAAGGTGGGCATGCATTGGCAGCTGTTGAGAACACCTTAAACTAAGCACTTCATTTTCCACTATCTCATATCAGCTGCAGAAGAGCAACTACAGAAAGCCAAGAAAAGATGCGACTATTTTAAGGTGCTCCTTAGCACCTTAAAAGATGCTACATCTGCACCCATGTGCGATCCAAAATATGTTTTGATTTTTGAATAATATATCCGTGCGTATGCTTGCTTGCTTTGATGTTCGTTAAATTACAGCCTTTCCCCCCCCTCCCTATGCAAGTTGGTAATCATAGGGGGATTCAGAGTACCAATTCATATACAATAATGTAAGAGACTTAGCAATGCAACAGTTGGAACTCATAATGCAGTCAGCTCTTCTGAAGCAAGAGATGAGAAAGGTGCTAAAGGGAAGTTTCTTCCATTTTATTTATTTTTTTTAGCTCCACAGAGTTAAAAAGGGTTGTTTAGGTTATCAAATTCAACCTGTTGCTCACATTCATAATTTGGACATTAGTACTCTAAAACTTTTCAACTACTTTAGGCAATGCACTCTGGTTTGTTGTTGCTTCTACTTAATGATATGCCCAATTACTCTTCCAAAGTTTTGGAACAAATTACAAGGACTGAGAAATCATATTCAGAAGACTGCTATATTATGCTCCCATGTGGTCAGTTGATCTGTTTGAGTTCCTTTGTTTTAAAGACTAGAAAAAAAAAGTTCAGGATCCTTATTCAGCACGATACTCCACCCATGGCTTTCTTTTGCACATCTTGCTCTTACAGAAAGTTCAGGTAGTCCCCAGTTTAAGAATGAATTCCGTTCCCAAGGTCTGTCCTTAAGTCGAATTTGTATGTAATCCAGAACAGTATTATTGT